GCCGCATCACCCCCCCCCCCCCAAAAAAAAAAAAAAAAAAAAAAACTACAGTATTCCACCATTACCATGATTCCCAGATTAATAATGATACCAAACAGAAGTGGTCGAACTCAAAATAGTCCTCATCACCTTCTGCCTTTAAGTTCCTCATCAGCCACATTAAACAATTTACAGCGAAGGAGTCGGGTTCATTTTGGCTGGGAAGCAGGAAGCCCCGAACCTGTTTGCAAACTCTTAGTGCATGAAGACACTCTTCCTTGGTTGTTTCCTCGCAATTTTTCCTTTCAGCCATGGATATCATTTATTTGACCCTTTGGCATGGGCCAAAAAAGCCGAAGGAAGAAGAAATACACATCACAGCAAGGTTAGCAATGCAACCATATACGCTACCAGACCATTCGTTGCAGAACCAACTTCAACCTCCTGCAGGAATTACACAGTGCCAGTCTTCTATTCAGCCTGCCCAGCCCATCCAGACATATTCAACTATCAGAGGTAATCCAAAGTACCCTTAACAACTAATATTGTCTGATGCAGCTTAATGCTTGATTTAACCTGATACAACTTACAGAAGCACCAAACCTCAACCAAATTCTAACGAAACTAAACATTATGGGGTTCAGTTTTACCTTCCAAGCAACACTTTCCCAAACCATGATTTTTACAAGGCTAGAGAATCTTGCATTCCTCACATTATTTTATGCACAGTGATTTTACTCAAAACAAAATTCAATTCGCTAGCAGGAGGATATTCCATTTCAAAACATTCAGCAAACACATTGGAGAGTCACGCCTAATTATTTGGTCTCAATTATAGTCAGTCAAGTTCAACAAATAGACAACGAAAGTACTGGGCTCCCATATTCTTTCGAGACATTAAACAAACACATAGCTGACACTAGTTTACTAGCTGCTAAGCCTACGGTTTCACTTCTTCAATGACTCCCTCGTCATGGTCCAATAAGACTGGATCACTTAGACTGCTTTGATGCTCTTCCTGCTGCTGCTGCTGCTGGTGGTCAGAGTTCATCATCTGCTCCATGTCTTTTAGCCTGGTCCTTACCACATTTGTAACCAAAACTGCAACAATAAAAATCAATAAATGAATTCATATATTGGAGGATAGAGAAAAATAGAGGAAATGGGTTTTTCTAGGTGGTGATCTTACTGCCGGCGGTGCCGATGGTCCATAACCAGAGGATCTTCAAGCCTGGACTCGTCTCTCTCGGCATTTTAGATGAAGAAATTGTGCCTTTTCTTTGTTTCTCTTTTGCCAATTACTGAAGGATGATATGCTATTGGGCCGGGGGTTGGTTAATGTAATTAGATGGGCTTCATATAAGTTAATTAGTTTAATTGCTAAAATTAGAGTAAGAACTTAAGACAACAATGAACAAACAACATAATCATGCAACAAAATATGCATCTATGTAACTATAAAAATAGAGTGTTACGAATTTACTTTCATTAAATTTTTTTTAATTCCAAATTTATTGCTGAATAAATTATCAAAGGAGACGAGAGAGAGAAATGACATATTTCTGAGTCCTTTCAATGATTATTATTGATTTTTTTATTTTAATAATTTTTTGTAGATATTGGCTTTTTGTATTTAACTAGATTTAAAGGTCTGGGCTATGCAAACGGCCAAAACTTTTTTTTTATAAGTAGAAAAAAATGTCTAGTTAACTCAAGTATGCCTTGAAATAGTACAACTCAAGGCACAGACTTGTCATGTAAAAAAGGTTGATCTATGAATCAACTTAAAAGAAGAAGAATAACATGAATATGTGACCAAAAAATAATTAAAAAAAAAAGCAATTAACTTAAGATTATAACTAGTTAAATATTGGAAAAAAAAATAATCCAGGTCAACTTGACGTAGCATGTCGCGTATACAAGCCATGAGATCAAGATAAATAAATAAAAATTAAATAAAAAAATCTAAAGTTGAATATCAAACAAATTCAGCTTCGAAAGATGAAATTCAAAAGAAAATCAATTAAAAAAAATAAAAAAAATCAAGGCAAACCAAGCTTTTCAATCATGGTCAAGCAAATGATACAATAAAATAGAAATCAGAAAACATCACATAGCTCAATTCTAAAACAACTTAAATTTAAAAAGAGTGATCCTAAAAAAATTTGAGCCAACCCACAAAATCTGTTGGCTAAGTGGTATTGAGATAAATGAATAAAAAAAAATTTAAAAAAAATCATGAAGTCTAGTATAAAAAACACTCAATCTTGAATGATTGAGTCGAAGAAGAAATTAATTCCTAACAAATGTTATTTTTGCATTTCAAAAGCACTTTTTAAAAAAATTAAATTTTTTATTGTTTTCTTTACTTCAAATTAATATTTTTTTAGTGTTTTTAAATCATTTTGAGACGTTGATGTCAAAAAAAAAAATTAAAATATTTTTTTGCTGTTGAATGATAAAATTAGAAAAAAAGTCAATTTAGAAAACTTGCCAAAGTAAATCCAACAAAAAACAACAAATAAAAAAATCTAAGACAACCCCATTTATTTTGAAAAATTACAAAAAAATCATATAGAAAGCAAATAAAAAAAACCATAGCCTAATCTTTGATATAAATGCTTAATGATGAAGTTAAAAAAAATCATCTTAAAAAAATAAATAAAAATAAACTAGTAAGCTAGAGCGAACCTCTAAATCTAGATAAAGATCTTAAATTCAAACCCATTAAATATTAAACTTAGATTAAATTAAAAAAACTTAATTCCCAACCAATTTTATATCGATTAACCAAAGTAAATATAATAAAAAATAATAAATAAAAATACTTTAGAAAACCCAGGTTATTTTTAAAATCAGTGAAAAATCATACATAAAAAATAAATAAGAATGATGGAGCCTAGTCTCCAATTGAATAATGTTGGAAGATTAAACTTAAAAAACACGAGTTTGAATAAAAGAAAAAAAAACAAAGGTAAATCTCTTAAATTTAGATTAATCTCTAAAACTTGAAACCTATGAAATTGTAGACTTAGACTTAGTCAAGAAACTCAATTCCCTGCTAATCTAATGTTGAAAGATAGAACTAGAAAAATTTTCAATTTAAAAAATATTTCAAAGTGAAAAAAATACTAATAAAAAAAAATAAAGATTAAATTTGACAGGAAAGAAAAAAATTAAGAAGAATGAAATTGTAAAAAAAATAATTGAAATCTTACCTCAAATAAAACAAATAGTAATTAAAAGAATGAAAATTCAATTAAAAAAATCAAAGAGGGATGAAACTAAAAACAATTTTAATTTTATAAATTATTTTAATTTTTTTTTGCAGATATTAAAAGATAAAATAAAAAAATCAACTCAAAGAATTATCAAATAAAAAAAGGAAAACCCAACAAGGAACTACAAATTAAAGACCCAAGATAGATGAAGTTATTTGAAGACCAACAAAAATATCAACAGAAGGCAAATAAATAAAAAGAACATAATCTAATCTCCAAATAAATAAATATTAAAAAATAAAAATGAAAAACATTTAGTTTAAACAAAGAAAAATAAAAAACCAAGCAAATTCGATGTGAATCTTTTAAACCCGATGTAACCTCTAAAACACGTAAGTCGTGAAATTCTGAATTCGAGTTCAATTAAGAAATTTAATTCCTAACCAATTTAATATTAAGAAAGAAATCATGAAAAAATATCAATTTTAAAAATTTGTCAAAATAAAAAAAAATAACAATTAAAAGAACAGAAATGAAATTTGATAGGAAAAAAACCTAAGAAGGATGAGATCGTAAAAAAATAGTTTAAAAATGATCCTAAACAAAACAAATAACAATTGAAAGAATGTAAATTAAATTTAAAAGATAAAAAAAAAAGAAGAAAATGAGTGAAATTAAAAAAATAATAATATAATTTTATAGATTATTCAAAATAAAAGAGAGAGTATTCCAAAGGACATACACCATATGTTAAGAAAAATAAAATTAAAAGGGTTGACACTGGATTTGAGGTGAGGCGAATAAAAAAAGAAATGATTATTGGCACCAAACCAAAGATAAATTTGGTGCATGCAGCACTCCATCATTAAGGGAGCATTGAGACTTTCCTAATATT